TCATCCGTGTTGTCCATATTCAAAGATGGCCACCCTTAAGAAATGGCAAAGCTCGAAACACTTCCATGACGGGATTCACATTCTTTTTTCTGCTCGGGAGGATGGATTCCTACTATTTCTGAGCGAAAGAAACACAGTGGAGCAATGAGGATACCATAAGCAGTCCTATTCTTTTCCAGTGAAAGATTTCCCCTACCTAGAATGGATCGATGGGGTGTATATGTATATAGAGAAAAGACTGACATTGCTTATGCAAGTCGGTAGTCAAATTCAAAGAACTCGATGTGGGATTCCCATTTTGTTGTGTTTGACATGCTTGCAACAAGTTCCGAAGTTCATAGTAGCTGTTGCACCACTGGAATGTCATACACTATTGCCTATCTAGCACCTGCTAGGCCAAATTGAGAGTTCTCGAGATAGGCCTTTTGGTGTTGCTCATCTTTCGTGTTCTTGGCTTGGGCTTCAACATCTTGAGTTCAAGAACCTCACAGCTTGCTAGAGGATTTGACTTCAGCATTCACTGCCAGATTAGCTCAGTCGATATTAAAGTGCATTCTGTGTTCAATATACAACGGATGCTCCTGAGTTTTAACGGGTGCATTTAGCTTAGGTTAAACCTTCTACTTAGGTTGGATAGTATTAATCTCGATAATGGGGTGGCATTTACCTCTCTAATTTTGAGAAGATTCAGGGGAGTCGAAACTCAATTAATATGCTTATGGAGACTGTTACCAGTGGAAACCAACTTTAGATGGACTTATTGATTGATGAATGTGTTGTTGTTGCTGCAAGGGATAGAGAATTAGTATCTAAGTGGAATTGTTGGGAGTTGAGGTCAATTCCCTTTAATTTGCCCACAGCCTTGTTCAGAGAAGAATAAAGAGACAAAATTATATATATAAAAAGAAAAATTATGAACTATCAAAGCTTTTATAAATTTTTGACAATCAAAAAGATTATTATCTCACATAAGCTTTGTCACACATACTAATTTTCATTATTTGAACAATCCACAACGAGAAAAAAAAAATTGAAATGCTAAAAGCTTTAATTTTTTTTAATCAAGTCACGTCCCCAAAAGAGTTAATGATTAACGTCAATGTTTATTGAACGATTGACCTAAAATCATACGAAAATCTCGGCTAAAAACACAGGAATTATTTCAAAATTGCTTCTTTTTAATTTTGGCATGTATGTGTCACTTCCCAACATGACTTTGTGGGGCCTAGGACTTTTCTCTCGACTACACATCATTTTTCTACATTAAGCCCCGATTTGATTTTGTTAAAATTAAATTTTTAGTAAAGTTGATGAAATGCAGTTGAAAAATTAATAAAATTATGGGTCTCCTATGTAAATCTTTTATTCAAAGTAATGAGAATGACGTATAAACTTGTATATTTTTATGTGCATTTCTATTCTTGTTTGTTCACGATTGCACTCAAATTCAAATTTGACTTTATTTCATAGTATGTGCTTCTAATTTCAACTTTCAATAACCCTGTTTATGGCTTCATTCTAAGGTTTAGCAAAAGCATGGAAACCTACTCATTGGAGGCAGGAATTAACGGGTATACTTGAAAGGCACCCGATGCTAATTTTTTACTGTATTTTTTGTTGAAAAATTGGTTTTAATTTGTTGGTTTGACCAACTTTTAACCAATTCTTTTAGTGGGTATCTCCTTAGTTAGACAAAAAATTTCTTTGGCCAAGTGTGTGATACTCCATGAGTAAATTAATGTAATGTATTTTCTCAAAACCAATTTAGGATGAACGAGAAATTAAGGCCAAAAGATGTCAATTTGAAGTTGAAATCAATTGGGAATAAAAATTGGTGAAAAATTAGAAAATGACAATCCCATATACAGAAACTAAAATAATAGAAACCGCTTTAAATTGTTCAAATTTGAGATTTGAGTTTGGGCCCTAAAGGGTACCAATAGTTTTTGAAGGGAAGATGACATACATGTTAGTAGGTTGAGTCAAAGCTCATACGCACACGACGTTCGATCGGATCTGTTCGACTCAATACAGGTCGTGGGCTTGGGCAAGTTGATATACATTTTTTTAGTAAAATAATATTTGAATTTTATTATTTTATTATTATTTAAAATAATATATTTATTTATATTATTTGTTTTCCTGAATTTTATGTACGCGACACATAGCATCTTCTAAAAGCAGGCAATTGGCATTTGAACTGTCTGTCCAAACGAGTTGTGTGTGTTGAAGACACAACTTTTCAACTTATATATAAAGGTTCACATACCCCGGATTTTGTCATTCCAAATCAATTCTGATTTTTCTCTCTTGCAAATTATATTCCTTCATTATTGCATTATTCAACATTTTACATTTCGGTTTTGAATATTATTTTCGTGCATTTTAGTCCTCCAGTTTTAGAGAGATAAAAAAAAGTTAATAGGTTCGCCGGTCTTATAATTTGGAGTGCTACTATTACAAGTTAAGGTCATTGTATTTTGAGAGACGAGTGCCGGAAGACCGTCAACACCAGTTCGGGATATTATCGTCTTAAGGAGAAAGAGTCGAACTTTTACCTCGACCATTATCATTTTATTTCGTTCATTTTTACAAGTCGGTATTCTGTCCAACTTTTTATTCACAAATTATTGCACGATAAAATCATTATTTGCCAACATTTTCCTTGTAAACAGCAATTTCTTTCACAATGCCATCATTTCGTTCGAGGAATTTAATTTGAATACAATCTTTTGGAGAACCCCACGAATCCCAATTTGGGTGAAAATGCCTTAATATCGTCATCATTCTGATATAGAATGATTTCTGTATTTCCTTAGGAATAGAAGG